CGAGGGACTGGTCAGACAATGGATGGATGCTCCCGGATGATGTGCGACGCAGTGCGCTTAAGCGTGAGAAAGCGCGCAAGGCGCGCACGTGGGAATACTGCGCGTTGTGCGGGAAAGTGTCGCGCCTATGGCGCGTTCCGCGGGAAAGTGGTGCGCTCTATAGGGAATGACTAGAGGGTGATGGTGCGAGTTGTGCCATGAAGGCCAGTCATCAGAATTCGTAATATGAGCCCATATGAGCCCACAGAAATGCAAGTCTCTACATCGGTCTGCTATTATGCATCTCGGAGAGGGATTTGATGCAGATGAAGATCCTGAAGACTTGTACTTGGACATTCTTGATGATCTCGATGATGACTTGGCAGACTTCACCGAGACATCTGACACATGGGCAAACTCCCCTGAGCTCACTGTAATCCCATTGCCATCAAACCTCGGGGTAGATCGATGCAGATGCTGTATGGCAGATGATCTCATTCCGCTGGAGATGTCTCTTCGTGAAGGGCAGGCCAATGACTCCCTTCACAACCTCCAAATTCACTTGTGCAACAAGGCGATTCTGTTTTGAACAACAGTTAGGCAAGCCAAATCCCAGGCCCTGAAAACTCAAGCTTGGTCCCAGGTGACGTCGGTGCAGCAGGCAGTGTCCCTCCATGCCAGTATATATACGAAGACGAGGAAGCAAATGATGCAACTAGAGCCAGGGCAAGACCAGGTTCAGAAATACAAACCCCTGCTTCGAGAGCAACTCAAAATCAGCACTGCCGTCGGCGATCCAAATGCCCGAGGTCAGCGAAATGAGTCCCTTGCTTGGTTCTGGTCAGTCGAAGTCGACCTTGGGGGTCCCGATCACTCGTGGAATGAGGAATGTGAGTTTGGGCATGCTTGATGTGTCCTGCGCTCAGCTGACGGAGTCATCCGATGTTTACCGAGTTCATTGGCTCCGGGCAAAGGCACTACGGGATCGATGGAAGGAAGAAATGATGTTGGTCCAATTGGAGATGGATTGGACATGTAACTTTTTCTTGTGGAAAGCAACCCAATGGGGTGACAGGATGTGTGAATCATTGGTGAAACACCTTCCGGGTCATGCATGCTACTTGGGAAGGCAATCCCAAATGTATTCATTGCTGGCACAGGATGCCCAGGCAGCATTTCAAGACCTGAAGACCGGGTGTATAGATGCTCGAGATGAATGAATTTTTTTGCCAATGATATGAAACAGCTCCTTCAACCCAATCATTTTAGTCCCGGGAATTGGCCGGGTCGACCCATGTCGGAGTTTGAAATTTTTTATCAATCAACCAGTGGCTCATATCTTGACCTCTGAACCAACTGCCATTGTCATTGTCATTTCCAGCTTCATAATCCTGCATTCACCATGTCTGTATTGCATACTCCCCCTACATCCCCTTCTAATTCTCAGACTTCCAGCAATGGGTTCTGACCCCTCACACTCACTCAGGCAGATATTGCAGCTACAATGTCAATGGCTGCATCTCACATCCGAGCGTCCATCTCTCAATATCAGATGGAGGCTGCCCAAACCCAGGAGCCTTCTGCTACTCGGATCACGCACTTTAAAGCCGGGCTGCAATGGGAGATAGCTGTAAGAGGCTGATGACTGTGGTGGTCAATGCTGACATTTCCAACAGACTTTTGTGACTCCCATCCTGCAGTACTCAGCTGCAAGGAACATCATTTCGGTTGTTCCAAGCCCGGTTGCTCATATTCTTCAGTTGATTCCTGAGCTCACCTGGAACATGGTTCCGGACCACATCTTTTCATCCCACCTATGCCAGTTTCAAGACGTTGCAGATCTGGGGGATCCCTCCTGCATTGTATCCACCTATGGTACTCAATGGTGGACTGGATCAACTGCCATCCTGAACGAATTATGGCCATGGGATCAGGTATTCACTAATTGTGTCTGTCACTACCAGCATTGGCTAGTAAGACTTTTACAGAATTTCCTTGAGTGATGACTAATCCCTTCTAGTCTGGCATTGAGGACGAACATCTTGTTGTTCCCGAGCAGGTGGATGAAAGCTCGCTTGCAATGCTGAAGGCACTGAGGTGGATGAGGGAACGCCTCCTGACAGTGATTGAGGATCAACAAGCTGGCATCCGTGAAAAGATGGCAGAGATTCAGATGTACACCGCCGTCCTAACCAAATTGAACCCAAGGGGACCAGAGTAGTTCTAGTCCTTCAGTTCAGAATGTTGAAGTCTAAATTCTGTACATGATGAAATAAGTACTGAAAATTACATACTGACTTTCGAATATCTGACCTATTGCTATATGCTGAGTCCTGCATACCAAATATCGAGTATCGAGATCCAGATATCTTGAGTCCCAAATATTGAGTCCCAAACATAGAGTCCCGGATATCCAGTTCTGAAGCCCAAGATTCGAGACGAGACTTGAAACTCGAACATTGCCATGAGTTGTGAGTTTTGAGTCCCCACTATCAACCATCAAGTCCCGACTACTGAGTCTTGAAACCCGAGTCCCGACAATCGAGTCCCACAGCCCGACTATCAAGTCCCGACTACTGAGTCTTGAAACCCGAGTCCCGACAATCGACTCCTGAAGCCCGAGATTTGAGTGCCGACCATCGAGTATCGAGTCCCTATTATCGAGACCCCAAACCCGAAGCCCGAGCTTCGACACTCGAAACAAATCGAAACTCAAAACTCAAAACATGACACTCATCAATTTTGGGAGTTGTTTTCTTGAATCACCGAGTACTGAAACCCAAAACCCAGTACTCGGTAGTCGGTGAAATGTATACAACATCACTATGGAGTATACTCAAATATCAAGTCCCGACTATCAAGACCTGAAACCCGAATGTTGAGTATGGAGTGCCTGATATATAGTATAATGTATTTGAAGGTGGGTACTAACACAGGTAACTACCTTTTCTACTTCTTCCAATCCAACCTTGCCCATCCACACGATGGAATCCCGGCATAAATATGAACAGCATCCCTCATATACCATGCCCAGGCAATCCGATCCCCTTCCACTGCATGAACCCCATGTCTGACAATCCTTCCCGAAAACGCAATCATGCACCCCGGATTGTACCTGAACTCCAGCTGCAGGCTTGGCATACTCATCCGAGCATTAGAATAATTCCCCACGCTAGTGAGAATATCGAAGCATTCGGAAATTGATGAGGGGTCTCGATGATTCGGGGTTTCCCAATTACATATGACAGTGAGGCTGTTAAACACCGTTGCCCAGTACTGGAGAGTCTCTGACATCTTCGGCAGTTCCTTGCTTCATGCCTTTTCTCTCCGAGGCTCGCAAAGGCTTGCAACCCTGCCCAGTACTGCTCAGGATGCATCACCCTGAGTGCCACTGTGGCAATGGCTGCTGGCCTCGCAATGGCTTTGAGGATGTTCTCGGAGGATGGTCCCTTCAATGATGCAGATACCTCCGGATCGGACTGATTCTATGGGATTGGTGAGTTTAACTACCGAGATCGCCATCTCATCAGATCCTACCTCGTGCCCCTGGTGAAACCATGCCGGAGATAAATTAACGCATCCGGGAGTTAGGACATCATTTTCCGAGCTTGGTGTGAACCACTGTTGATTAGTCTGCCAAATCCCATCGAGCTTTATGCTTTGTTCAAGCATGGGAGCTAGCAAATCCGAGGCCACCCAAATTTCATTCTGTATGTACCATTTGATGTTCAATACCCATCCAGTCACAATATATATAACACACCTGGGTGGCATCGGTCAAGGCATCTGGGAGGTACCATGCGATGATGGCACTGGATGCATCAAGAATTGTCATGGGTATGTCAATCAACTTTGTGCCCTCATGGCCAGGAGGACACCTCTCGAGCAACTTTTCCTCTCTCTCTTCATTATGCCCCATGTCCTTCGGGGAGATCAATTTGCTATATCTTGCAATATCGATCGGCATCTGAACTGTAATGAAGCAATTTGACTGATAAAACGAATTTTCCAAATCTGCAGGAAGACTCACTGGGATTTTTATATGCCTTTATGAGCCGATCAACCAATCAATCACAAGCCATCACCAGATCAGTGTCTAGGTTTGGAGAAGGTATAACTGGGTCTCCTCCTGTCTTCTCTGCATTGAATTTCTGTTCCATATAATCACATGCCACATGAGTGACAGTCAGGGCCCAAGTGCACAAGAGGGTTATTTCATCATCGGAAGTGGAAGAAACATCCACGATTGAATTGATCTTGTGAAATCGGAAGCTGAATCCTGAATGTCTGCACTTTGGTGTTACAGGGGGTGGAGATTGAGATGATCAGATAAGGGAGCCTTGGATGATCTGAGCTTTCAAAGATCTATTATCTCTTATCATCTATTGCTCAATGAAATACCACATGATTGGAAGTCTGTTGGATGTCAGATACTCGATTTCGATACCCGGGACACCATAGTTGGAACTTGTCTCGAATCTCAGGTCTCGGGTCTCGGGCGTCGGGTCTCGGGACTCATTGGTTGGGACTCGATACTCGATTGTCGGGATTCAATGGTCAGGCATCGGGTTTCATGACTCGGTAGTCAGGACTCGATGGTCGGGACTCAATGGTCGGGACTCAATGGTTGATTTTCGGGATTCGATAGTTGGGGCTCAGATATTGGTACACTTCACTCGATTTTTGGTAGTCGGAACTTGGCATTTGGCATTTGGTAGGCTTGGATGATGTTGGCTTTCAAAGATCTATTATCATCCATTCCTCAATGAAATACCAGATGATCGGAAGTGTGCTGGACATCACATATTTGTTTGTCAAGACCCGGGTCTTGGAACTCGGTACACTTCACTTGAGTTTCCACTTCACCCCTTGCAAAGCTCCGTGCCAAACCACATCATTAGATGACTTTGAATAATTACCCTCCTTTGATTTGGATGATATACAACTAGCTGAGCTCCATCATGTCTACAATTATCATTCTCCTTGGCCCACCCGTCTATCTTATATACCCCCACGTCGGCCTACCCATCTATGCAATATATGTCTCCTGTCGGCCCACCCGTATATAATACATCTTTTACCACTCCCTTGACCCACCTGTCTACAAAATAATACCAATATGTCGGCCCACCCGTCTAATATGATATATATCTGGGCCCACCTGTCTATGTGATAACAAATATACCCGGCTATTTGATACATATGTACTTGTGGAGGGCAAACACCATCTCCAATCGGCTTCGTGGTCTTCACTAACTGCAGGTATGTGAGTAATCTTTTAGTAATAGACAATTTGAAGCTTACCTGTTTGTACTTCGTCTCAAGCGAAGTAATTTTGCGTGAAGGCCGGTGGTTTACCTTGGCCCATTGGGAGTACTTGAGGTGAACAGTCTGCCACCCATGCTGACCAAGAGGGAGCTCATCTTGCACCATGTCGAGGAGAGCATTGACATCTAGATTAGAGTAGTTATTAGACCCTTGAGGACAGCCTCATCTCACTTGCGCATCGTCATCGTCATCTCCGTCGTCTCGGGAACACTTCTTTGGGATAGTGGACGGGATGTTTTCCTTTCCCTTGCCTTTGCCCCTTGCGGTGTGAACCTGCCGTTTTGGCTGCAGGAATGTGGCCACGTGCCTCCGCGATAGTGATGGCGTCCGTCAAGTCCAAATCGCCGGAGTCAGGCAGGGGGAGGAGGACAGGATTGATGACGTCGTTACCCTGGCACCTGGCGCATAACGATGCGAGAACTAGACGGCGAGGGAGAGTCCTGTGAGAGGCGTGAATTTGGCCGGACTGAGTGCATAAGTACCAGACTCCATGCGAAAAGACCGTTGAGACGTAAGAGCCTGTAAGAACATGAGTATTCGAGACTAGATGTGAATAGAATGGACTGACATTGCAAATTCCTGGATGAGGCACCCAAGCGCCGACATTATTGCATGCAAACGCATTGCCGGCGTCATTGTAGCGCAGTTCTGGGTAGGATAGGCTGGGGGCAGGGGGTATCATATATTGTGGAGGAAAGATGTCAGACATAGCGTTGTAGCTGTAGTGTTTGAATGAACAGAATACTTACCTGGTTGTCCTGTGACTGGTGCTTTTATATATCTCCAAAAACCCTGCCGGCAAGTGTATCAGGGCGCTGTAGAGACTCACGTTTCTCCAGGCTCATATGGGCCAAATTCACGCCTTTTTACGATGCACTCGATATCCTTGCAAACGCACTTCTCATATGACTTCCACGCAACGCGCGCTTTGGCGCGTACCAGCGCGTTTGAGTGCGTTCAAGTGCGTTCAAGTGCGTTCAAGTGCGTTCAAGTGCATTACGGTGCACTTCGTTGCATTTCCTTAGGATCCATCGCCTGTCCTCCGCATGTCCTGTCCTAGTCCTCCAAGGTTCATTGGTGCGTTTTCCCTTCTTCAGAACTCATACTCCGTCATGCAGGCACTAGTACTTATCATCATATCTTGTTATGGACCCTGACTTACCTCACCATTTACCTTAGTACTTCCTATTTGGCTCTGAGCCATGGGAACTCGCTTAGCATACCTACACATCACCATGTTTGTTTTCCTGTCACTTACTTCCGCTCGACTACCATCGAAGTGTATAGCTCGAGTTTCTATCTGAATAATCCGGTTTTCCTTCCTATTGGCGCTTTGACACCTTTAAGTGTCTATTTCTACATCTATCAAAGTCCTGATTCCCCATTTGATTGTCATCTCTACTCGAAGCACTCCATTGTGATTGCACGAAGTGCGCTTTTCCGCACTTTCCGCCTTATTAGCGCGTTTTAGGCGCCTTTAGCTAGCGCACTTCGCTTTTGGGTGCATTATTTGCCTCAGAGTCCCATTCAGACTTCAAGACTGAACCGCTGGTTATAGATCCCCCTCACCTTTCACTAGAGGAATCTTTCACAGTAGCAATCCCCTTGGGATGACTTTCCACTCGTATCCAGAGGAGCACTTGAGAGCCCACTTCCCACTCTTCCCCCTAGCATGCAGCTATCATTCCTCGCCCTCAACTGGAGCCCACCGCGAGGGGATCATCTGAGAAAACTAGCAGATCGCTCAGGTCTACTAAGGGACGCAAAGAAAGAGAAGAAGCCATCGAAGAATTCAATATCGCATTTTCAGACCCGCGAGTTGCAGAAGCAGAAGAGATTTTTGTTCCAGTTCCGCGAACCCGTGCAAGACACGTCTCAGAACCCATACACCCAGACCTCTCACTCTTCGCACCAAACCCACGCACTCCCGCTTCGCCTGTCACACCTTCACCCAAGGATTCCGCGAAAGGCGAATTGTCCGACGAGTTTGAAGCGCAAGATAACCCAAGGAACCTACCCCTGGTGCTTTCATTAGCACGCCCAAGCGCATAACCCCCTCAAGCGCTAGTACTCTCTCCTCATTAACCGCACTATCCGCTTTTAGTGAGATCCCTCATAGACCGTCAGACGCGCCGTCAAGCACAACCCCTATGACAGAAGCACAGCCAATCAAGCAGGAAGACATCGACGCTCTCCCTGCTGCACAAACTGGTCAAATCAAGGAAAGCGGTTATCGCCCAAACCAGTCAAGCTCCATCACCGCAGCTGCAAGCGACCTGCCTTATCCATTCCACCTTCTCAACCCGTTTTACCCATTAACCCATCACAAGCAAGCATGGCGGCAGTGCCCTTCAGAATGCCTGGCCGCGCCACTGATAAGGCGCCCAAGTTCGATGGGAAAGATGAAAGTTTGCTAATTTTTATAGATGATTATGAAGACCTCGCCAATGAGGCAAATCTAGCGGGCGCAGATCACATCAAAGGCCTCATAAAATATGTACCCACTAAGGATAGGAACCTTTGGGCTGGTATACCTGAAGCTTCTAAAGGCAATTACGATGCCTTTATTATAGCAGTCAAGGATATGTATCCAGGATGCGAAAGCGACAAGCGCTTCACAGTAGCTGACCTACAAACAGTTTCGCGCAACCAGAGTCGCGCACCAATGATGCACATAGAAGTGGAAGGAGAGTATTACCACGAATTTACCAAGGTTTTGCAGACGCTCAAGAAGCATGATCGCGTCGGTAAAGCAGAGACAAACCGACTGTTCTTGGAGGGGTTCCCCTCAGGCGTGCAACAGCAAATTCGCAACCAGCATGATGATCAAGTTCCCAGATCACCATCCAGACGATCCTTACCCTATGCAAGATGTGCGCGCAGCTGCGCGCTTTTTGCTTCCAGGCATCACATCAATACCCGCAATGCCAGCAGGCACGCAAACCACATCGCCATCGCCACAGGGCCAGCAACTCTCAAACGCCTACCTACCAGAAGCCTGCAATGGGCGCAGTCGTCAAACAGGAATACCAGGCCACACGTAGCTGGCAATTGCACGGCGCAAGGGTGTATGTTCTGCGGAAGCGGCGAACACTTCCTTAGTCGCTGTCGCAAAAGATGGCGTATATTGATGCGGGGAAGTGTAAGGTAAGCGAGGAGAGCAATAAGTTAGTATTGCCAAACAGTAGATGGATTCCGGGGAAACCGCACGAAGGGACACTGAAAGAGCGACTTGATCGTCATATTGCCACTCAGCAGGCAGGACCAGGCACTTCCAAGCACAAGCATAACCTGCTGGCATCTTTGTCCGCGCTGATCCTGATGTCGACGCAGTGATAGAGGTTGACTCGTCCGCATTCGTGCACACTATCACAGATGCGGATTCAGAGGTAGACGACGAAGATCTCGAAGTGCTGCGCGCTACACAGGCGTTAGCGCTAGCAACCACAAAGTGCGATCAGAAGAAGGGAAATGGACCTTACGCCCCCAAAGGAAAAGCGGTGCAATTTGACTGGAGTAGAAGTTTCCAGTGAGCCTCGCGCACGCCCTGGGCCTGCGTCTAGGCAAGCCTCTGATGCGGTAGAGATAGTCTCTCCTGCCGTACAAGCTTCGTCAGACAAAGGCAAGGCGCCAGAACGTGCGAAAACCACTGCAACGCCCTCTATGTCAGCTGCCAAGCCAAAGAGACACCCAAAGTATCTGAGAGTGGATCATCGTCATCTGCTAACACGCCCCTTGCGTCGTCATCATCTACCCACTACAGGAACTTATGCGCACTCGAGGACAAGGAGGCCGATAAGCGCATAATAGAGTGCCTTCTTGAAAGCAGCATCAACATCCCCATGCGCGAACTACTTGCTGTTTCGCCAGATGTCCGCAAGCAATTCCGCGACCTCACGACCAATAAGCGCATCACCGTAGGCACAGTATTTGTCAACGAATTATCCAGCCAGGAAACGACAGAGGAGCTCATGCAGGCATTCGACCAAGATCGGTTGCGAAGCGACGATGGCAAAGTTGTCGCAGATCACTTCGCACCATTGCGCTGCTACGATTGGAGGGCGAGTACTCACCTGTGTCCTCGATCAAGGCGCCGAAGTAGTGGTGATGCCAAAGGAAGTCTGGAGATCGCTAGGTGTAAGCCTGCGCGCAGACCATCGCCTTAATATGGAATTGGTCAACACGTCGAAGGACTCAACCCTGGGAGTGGTAGAGAATGTACCACTCGACTTTGGCGCCGGGCCAATGTACTTCCAAGTGCAAGTCACTGAACATGCAAATTTCGAGATTCTACTAGGGCAACCATTCTTCAAGCTCACTGCATGCCACACATTCGACCTCCCCAATGGCGATCAAGACATCCTATTAACTGATCCCAACACGCGCAAGGAGCTGCGCCTTCCCACCCAGCAATGGGTGAAGCGCTGTGGGCGTTGTGTAAGTGGACTTCCATGTCCGCAACACACACCGAAGCCGTGAAAAGAAGAAGAAAAGGGTTTTTAGATATCGATGATCTGCAGAATTCGCGGGGAGACACCTATCCGTCTTATATGACCCCGCCCTGGTATACATTTCCATCTCGCAAGGACGTTCAATCTTTCTTTCATTCCGAAGTGCAGCGCAAAGCTGCGTGGAAGTTTCGCACTCACAGCTCCTAAGGAGCAACATTGCATCAGTTTCTGTATTCTCGCACAGCTCATCTTCATTATCTGTCCCGATTATTCCGTTATCATCGCCATCGCATTATTCGGCGCAATACGCGCATCTGACTTCGACCCGCTCCATTTTAGACAAGGCATCTATAGAGGCCTTCTCATCCGTCTATTCTTATGATTGTTTGCACCACGCACTGGTCTATAAGCCAGTGGCGAAGAAAGTGCACACAGTGCCTACTACTATGCCACCAGAGTATAGAGTAGTGCGCCAGTTACCTGCAGATCCGTTGGCCGGCATGCCAGAACTGCCGACTCATCCTCCCGAATTTATTCCAGGCGTCCACTTCACGCACGAACACGCTGACAAGCTCGATCTAGATCCCGCGAAATGGCTATGGCCAGAAGAGCTAAAGCTTATCCGCTGGCTCGTTTGCACTCATGAGCTCGTGTTTGCATGGGGTGCCTCAGAACGAGGTCGCCTCAATGAGACATATTTCCCACCTTATAAGATTCCGACTGTACCACACACCCCCTGGTCTCAGCGGAATATCCCTATCCCTCCCTCAACGCTTGGCGAAGTTATACGCATTATCAAGGAGAAAATCACGTCAGGAGTATACGAGCTGTCCACTGCTGCATATCGCTCGCGCTGGTTTTGTGTCGTCAAGAAGGACGGAAAATCACTGCGCTTAGTTCACGACTTACAGCCGCTTAATGCGGTTACGATTCGCGACGCCTCAGTGCCACCCTTTGTCGAGCACTTAGCAGAGTCATTTGCAGGATACGCTGTGTATGGTATGATGGATTTATATTCAGGATATGATCAACGCGCTCTTCATGAGGAATTGCGCGATTTGACTACCTTTGGAACGCCACTAGGCCCTCATAGGCTGACGACGTTGCCACAAGGGCATGCCAACGCTGTACAGGTCTACCAAGGAGATACTGCCTTTATCCTCCAGCATGAGATCCCAGATTATACGTTGCCCTTTGTAGACGATGTGCCCGTCAAATCGGTGAAAACGCGCTACCAGCGCGCGGATGGCTCTTACGAGACTATATCTGCCAATTCAGGCATCCATCGCTTCATATGGGAGCACTGCATTGTGCTCAATCACATTCTTCAGTGCCTGGAGAACGTAGGCGCCACCATATCCGCTACTAAATTCGTCTTAGCCGCACCAAGTGCAATCATCGTTGGACACTTGTGCACATTCAAGGGCCGAGTGCCTGAGGACTCCAAGGTCCAAAAGATTCACGATTGGCCAGAACCCAAGAATGCGACGCATGTGCACGGGTTTCTGGGCACCTGTGGAGTCTTGTGCATTTTCATCCATAACTTCTCGCACATTGCGCGCCCATTGATCAATCTTACCAGGAAAGACGTGCCCTTCAAGTTCGGACTCGAGCATCGGGAAGCGATGCAAACGCTGAAGGACTCTGTATTAGAGTCCCCGCATTGCGACGGCTGGATTATGAATGTGGTCACGAGGTCATTCTAGCAGTTGATACCTCGGTCGTTGCGGTGGGATTTATCCTACTGCAAATAGGCGAAGATGGAAAGCGCTATCCAAACCATTTCGGATCAATTGCACTCACCGAAGTTGAGAGTCGCTACTCCCAGGCCAAGCTAGAGCTCTATGGGCTCTTTCGCGCGTTGCGCGCAGTGCGCGTATACATATTTGGCGTCACAAATCTTACAGTCGAAGTAGACGCGAAGTATATCAAAGGTATGATTAATAATCCTGATTTGCAACCCAACGCGACCATCAATCGATGGATCGCGGGTATTCTCTTGTTTCAATTTGTTTTGGTTCATGTTCCCGCCGCGAAACATGCAGGTGTTGATTGTCTCTCAAGGAGACCCCCAGTTGATGAGGATCCTGCGGAGGATGATGACCATGAGGATTGGATAGATTGCGCTTACTCGTTTGGGTTCGCGCTCCTGAATGAAAGGACACACCAAGTCGATGCGGCGTGCGTGCGAATAACGCGCACAGTGCATAGCGCACCATACGTGTGACAGCCTACGTGGTTACCAGACATGCGCGTTTTTCTAGATATTGTCGAACCCAAGTCAGTAGAACCAGAGATTCCCCGCTCTTCAGCAGCACAAACTTTGGATGAGAAAATAGTTGCAGCCAAACGTTTTCTTCTCTCGCGCAAAAGACCCACTGATCTCGCAGATGATGAATTTCAAGCATTTGTCAATTTCGCAGCACGCTTCTTTATCCTAGAAGATAATCTCTGGTGTAGGGACCGTCAAGGGAAACACCAATTGGTGCTTGAGCCCCAGAAACTCTACCGCATTTTGAAAGAGGCACATGACGATCTAGGACACAAGGGTATATATGCCGTGCACGCGCGGTTGCTCTTGCGGTTCTGGTGGCCGTTCATCACTGACGACGTCAAGTGGTACGCACGCACATGCCACGAGTGCCAAGTGCGCCAGATGCGCAGACTCCATATCCCGCCAACAGTACCCATCCCAGGAGGTCTGTTTCGCAAAGTGCACATTGACACGATGAAGAGGCCCAAAGCGGGCGGATTCGAGAATATTGTGCAAGCGCGTTGCGCGCTCATGTCATATCCCGAATGGCGCATGGTACGCAGAGAGAATACCAAAATGCTGCAAGCGTTCATATTCGAGGATCTCCTATGCAGATGGGGTCCCATTACCGAAGTGGTCACTGATAACGCACCCTGCCTATAGACTCGCTACAGATGCACTCAGGGAGAAATATGGAATCCACCCAATCTGCATTTCGCCTTATAATTCTCAGGCCAATGGTATAGTCGAACGCAGGCATCTTGATGTCCGGGAGGCCATCATGAAAACTTGCGAAGAGGATGATTCCCGCTGGTATCAGGTCGCACCCTTGGTATTTTGGGCAGAGCGCTGTTACCAGTGCAAAAGGCGACAGGCTTATCGCCTTATTTCATGGTCCATGGCAGTTGAACCTATCTTTCCTTTCGATTTAGCAGAAGCAACGTTCTTGGCGCCCTTGCCAGAGCGAGGCGCATTTACCACCTATCGACCTCATAGCATGGCGCGCAGTGCCAACTGCAGAAGCGCATAGAGGATCTTGACGCTATCAAAGATAAGGTGATAAAAGCGCGTTTCAAATCCTGTCCACGATTTCGAGAAGCGCTTTTGCGCCCTCGATCAAAGACTACGATTTTAAGCCTGGCCGCATTAGTGCTAGTGTGTAACTCAAAGGTCGAGTACGAGCTTAGCAAGAAGACGAAACCTGCGGTATCTGGGACCTATGATTGTTCGTACGTCGCACGAAAGGAGGCTCATATCTGTTGGCAGAGTTGGATGGCGCAATCTCCAAGCTAGCGATACGCCAGCATTTCGCATCATTCCCTATTATCCGCGCAGCAAAGAGAGCGTTGCTGGTAACTAGCATCACGGGGATGAATGACGAGAGTCCTAGATCACATTCGCGCAAGATGATGGCATAGAACCAGACGAAGAAGATCCCGAGAGCGCGTTCGACGAATAGCGCATAAGTACCATTTCCCAGCACATCTCCCGACACTCTACCCATAAATATCCTCGATCCCATACACGACTCCCTCCAGAAAACATATAACGACAAAAATAACAAAAACATCATATAACAACATAAACAACAAAACAAAACGCCTCCGCACAATACCCTCCGTTTTACCCCGGGTTTCAGTCCGGTGATCTTTCTCTACTCTCTAATTGTCCCATATAACGCGCATTGCCATGAACATATCACCAAACAGACTCTATCATATACCCGTCCAAACCACCAAAATTATACATAGCTAAGTATCGATACTGTAAAAGGCACACACCTAATCAACCATAGACATTCAATTTCGAACGCATGCGCAGCCGCGCCGCGCACATTTTTACTATAGACATTACGCACACCTCTCACTAATCATCAAAACGCGCAGGCTTATGAAAGGGATAGACGAAGGAAGATGCACGAAGAAGACAAGGCGGGCGCGAACCCGCACGACCATTGTACCATTTCACCTCTTATGATTTTTCTCTTGCGCATTTACTTATATTCACGAAATTCTCTTATAATATGTAAGCCCAGTGGACTTGGACTCAGGATGTGGACTTGGACATGCGACGTGACAAAAGGATGGCATGGACTATTCTACAGGTGCATTGGCGCCAACAAGAGACATGGGCTATTCTAAAGGCGCTTTGGCAGCCAGGAGCACGAGATAGACTAATCAAGGAAGGCGAGTTCTTCATCCAAACGCGCCAACTCAGTGGACATGGAATAGGCCTGGTGGGACAACATGATAAGGCAACTCTGCTGGAGAGCGCCCGCTTTGGCGCATCGAGCGGATAATGCTCTTGAGGTGCTCATTCTCAGCTCTAAGGCGCTCCACTTCACTCTCGACCTCATCAGCGCCATCAGTAGGAACGCTAGGCGCAGCTTGCCTTTCCCTTACCCTTACCTTTGCCCTTGTCAGCCTTAACCACACGAGAAGGCAGGGCCTTGATAGCGCGAATGGGCACCTCCTTATCCTCGACCTCAGACTCTCCAGAACCAGATGTATCGACATCCATGACATCCAGGGCGGCAGACGAAGCAGGACGACAGATGGAGCCAGAAACAGACCCAGCCGGGAGAGATGCGTTTGGAGCAGACCCTGCCTTGCGAGGCGCAGAAGCCTTCTTAGATTTCTCTAGCAGCACAATGCTATCAGTGGAAACGCGCAAGGAAGAGGAAGAAATGCACTCTTGCGCGCAAATGAACAGGGCCTCCTAGCAGAGGCGCAAGCAGGACAGCACTGTCCAGGGCCTCCATTGCACTTCAGCCCCATCTCCTGACAGCGCATGCAGCTAGGTACCTCAGGGTGCCCACCGGATCGCTAAGTGTAGCCATGCCAGTTAAACGCACGAAGGAAGAAGAAACATCCACATACCTCCACCAGCTTCTCCCCACTATCCTTGACCCCAGGTAGAATGACCTCCGCTACCAATTTCTGTAATAAGTGCTTGGGGCGCGGTGGTGTCCTAGGAGGAGGATCCACGACAGCCCTCTCCTTAATCTCGCGAATCTCCTTCGAGAAGTTCCTATAGGCGCGTTTACCTTCCTCCAATATCTTCCTCCCAGTCGCGTCGAGTTCGAGCTCTAACTTCAAACGCGCCGCTATTGTGGCAGCCCCCTCGATTTGCACCTACAGGAAGGCCGCTTAGCGCCCAGGAAAATCCAAAATGGCGACTCACAGATAACTGACTCCAACTGCGCGACCAAGTCTCTCTATCCTCAAACAGGTCAGGACTATCACCAGGAATGATCTTGACCTGGGTGTCCAATGCCTGCAGAAGCGCGACCCAAGAACGCAGTACTCTCTGCTCTTCAGTCTCTGGGACCTCTTGGACAGCGGAGCCGGCTTCCTTGGCAGGAGAGGCAGGGCGCACATTAGGCTCAGGGCTAGGAGAAAGAGCAAGTAAAGCAGAGCTGAAAGGTGCCATCTTGTTGAAGAGGCAGATCACTGATGAGATGGATAAGAGAGAAGAAGAGAAGCGCGACGCGTTTTTCATCAATTCAACCACTCTTCTAAATTTGGTCAAATCTGCCCGCTGTAGAGACTCGCGTTTCTGCAGGCACATATGGGCACATTTCGCACCTTTTCACAACTCATGACAATTGGCCTTCAATGCACAACTTGCACCATCAGCTATATTCGACTTCTATCATGTCTCTAGTTGTTTTACACATAACGCGCAGCTTTCCCGCGAAACGCGCCATAGGCGCGCTACTTTCCCACACAACGCGCAGCATTCCCGCGCGCGCTTAGCGCGTTTCTCTCGCACTTGTCGCCCTACTCCATACGCAACTTCTGCTATGTCTCCAGTCATTTGCGCATACAATGCACAGCTCTCCTGCAAAGCGCACCATAGGCGCAACACTTTCTCACGCTTTCGCGTTTCGCATTCCCACGCGCGCGCTTAGCGCACTCCATCGTGCATCATCCAGGAGCATCCATCCATCATCCAACCAGTTCCTAGGTGTGTTCCTTTTCGTTATCAGACCATATTTAGCCTATTACACTTTGTATTTCGTTATGCACCCTTACTTTACATCACTTTACCTCACTTACATACTTAGAGCGCTCCCTATTCGGCTCCGAGCCCTGGGAGAGCGCTTAGGTAGAACTTACATACTTTCATGTTCGTTTTACACCACATCTTTCTACCACCATGTACTTGGCAGTTAGTTCCATGCAATGCATGCGTCCGTTGTCGTCTTAAGGCCCTAGCATCAGTCTAAAGCTAGTGGCAGTATCAGTATCCATCTATATCCGTGCTTTTCACCATATTATCGTCTCTCTACACTTGTGCACTGCTTGCACTACCATTCCAGTTCTCTGCGCATTTTCGCCTTTCACACTTTCGCCTTCCCACGCTTCGCGCATTTTTCGCGTTTCACTTTCCCGTGCGCGCCTTGAGCGCGTTTCTCGCGCTTACATCGCCCTTTTGTCGCCTTTGATCAGGGTTGATCAGCATCATTTCGTGGATCCTTGCTTTCTTTGCTTCCCTTAAGGGTCGAACATATCGCACGGCATATCAAGACCCAACATAGAGAGTGTTTGCTTGTCATCTGACTTGCAGTCACCTTTGTTGTGTTACCCACACCGCGATCATGTGATATCCGCGTCCACAATTTTTCTAAGTCCACTCACGCTACAACGGACTGACTGGGGACAGTCAGTAGCCAAGTCCCTGGGAGATGTAGAGATTCACATTTCTCCAGGCTCATATGGGCCAAATTCACGGCTTTTCATGACGCACTCGATATCCTTACAACGCGCTTCTAATACGACTTCCGTGCAACGCGCACTTTGGCGTGTACCAGCGCGTTCGAGTGCGTTCGAGTGCATTACGGTGCACTTCGTTGCATTTCCTTAGGATCCATCGCCTGTCCTCCGCATGTCCTGTCCTAGTCCTCCAAGGTCCATTGGTGCGTTTTCCCTTCTTCAGAACTCATACTCCGTCATGCAGGCACTAGTACTTATCATCATATCTTGTTATGGACCCTGACTTACCTCACCATTTACCTTAGTACTTCCTATTTGGCTCTGAGCCATGGGAACTCGCTTAGCATACCTACACATCACCATGTTTGTTTTCCTGTCACTTACTTCCGCTCGACTACCATCGAAGTGTATAGCTCGAGTTTCTATCTGAATAATCCGGTTTTCCTTCCTATTGGCGCTTTGACACCTTTAAGTGTCTATTTCTACATCTATCAAAGTCCTGATTCCCCATTTGATTGTCATCTCTACTCGAAGCACTCCATTGTGATTGCACGAAGTGCGCTTTTCCGCACTTTCCGCCTTATTAGCGCGTTTAGGCGCCTTTAGCTAGCGCACTTCGCTTTTGGGTGCATTATTTGCCTCAGAGTCCCATTCAGACTTCAAGACTGAACCGCTGGTTATAGATCCCCCTCACCTTTCACTAGAGGAATCTTTCACAGTAGCAATCCCCTTGGGATGACTTTCCACTCGTATCCAGAGGAGCACTTGAGAGCCCACTTCCCACTCTTCCCCCTAGCACGCAGCTATCATTCCTCGCCCTCATCGAGTAAAGAGGACGAGAAAGAAAGAGGGATGTGATTAGATAAACGTGATTGGTGGGATGTTGTTGCTGTTGTCGATCGTTC